ACAGAAATATACATTTGTAGGTGCTAAATCCATACTGATCAGCTTATCTGGACACACAGGCCTCAGGTACAAACAGCAGCAGCACTTGGCCTCCCTGATCTGTGGATCAGCACACACAGGAGCCTCTGCACCGTGCCCTCCTTTCCACTCTGTGCTCTGGGCACTGAGCGTGGAGCATCCCTGGGCTGGTGCCAGGGGCTACACCTCTGATCCACCTGCCCAGCCTGGCGAGGGAGGGATCAGATGGGGTGTTAGAAATCTCTGATTAGCAGATTCCCTCTGCAGATTACCAAAGGTTCCAATATTTTGCCTTTCAGCGCTGTCAGTCGCCCCCAGTAACCTGTGGGAGTTGAGGAATTTCAGCACCTGGCAGATTAAACCTGCAGAGCAAAGCTGTCACCCAGGTCTTTGTCATGCAAACTTGAGGCCAGGTTCAATAACATCCTGTTCCTCTTCTGCATTGCGGAAGCCTTGAAAATTGATTTTCTGTTTTGCCACTGAGTTCAGTGGAACCAGACTTCAGCCCTCCAAGGGAATTGTATTCCTGTAGATTGTAGCTACTTCTGAAATCCTTGATTTCACATCCTTAAATAGCAAACTTTGTGACAGACCAGGTGTGGATGCAAACTTTGCTGGATGTTGTTGACCAATGCTAGGTTATTAACTGTCTTTATGGTCTGGGATACCCTTTTTTTTTCCCCCCTTTCAAAATGCATTTCTCAGACTTGAAGTCCTAATCCAAAATGCACAGGAATAAATACAAATTTGTGTATTGATCACCAGAAAAGGATTTTTAAGGGAGTTGATCACTGCTTATAGCAGGAATGCATTTTTAAAAGAAACAAGAAATGTAACCTGTTAGGGTAACATTAATCCAGGGAAAATGAAGCAGCCAGAGCTTGTTAACATAGCCAACACCTAAGGCAGCAATGTGTCTTTAAGCTCTACTAATATTGAACAATAATAATTTTGGTGGAGGAAAATCTTCCCCTCTCCCTGAACAGAAACAAGACAGATTATTGACTGCCATCTAGAAAGATGGATGCTGTGGCCCTCGGAGTCCATTAATATTTGATGCTGATGGATGTGAGCTGGCAGCCTGAGTTATTAATGGGGTTTGGTTCCTTGGACCTCACCCTCAATCCATGGGGGAGAATTAACCATAACAACAACTGGATGCCCAAAGCTCTCAGGGTGCTGGGAAGGGCTGTCAGTTCCAGCAAAAATGGGAGTTTCTGAAGTGTTTATAGGCATGGAAAGTCATGGGTGGGGCTGCTGAGGTCACTGCCACCATCCATTCTGATTTCAAGGGGACTTTTAGGGTCCCAGGAATTGTAGCTTCCCTCCTCTATCTTTGCCATGTTGGGGTGCTCCCCTTAGGCCTGGATTTCAAACAAGAAGAGGCTCAGTGGTAATTTCTGAGCAGGGGTGAAGTGTGTGACACCCTGTCCTTGGTGGCACTGAGGTGGCCTCTCCCAGGCTGGGGTGATGCAGAGCAGAGAGCAGGAATTTGCTGCTCCACATAAAACAGGGCATTTCCCACACCCTACATTCCCTAAAGAATTTTTCCATTGTTTATGTTAAAGTCAGATTTGACCCCTGAAATTCGAAATAACCCAGTGGATAGATTTGGGGGGATATTTTGATAAACTGGCACTTCTAAGTGAAAATATTGAAAATGAAGCACCTCTGAAAGTTTATGATGTCCATATGGGTCATTCTGATTTGGAACATAGAGATGGAAAATACCAAGTTATTTATAGCTCAATTTCCTAAAATAGCTTTAACATTTCCAGGGGTATATGTTTGATTGAATTAGCTACTCCTTCCTAGCATGGATACCACATCCAGGCATTGCACTATCCTCATTAACCTCCCAATCTTAATAGAAAAAAAAAAAGAATAATCAACATAAGGAGCACAGCTGTTGATTAATTTTGCTAAATAGGATAGAAATATAAAGTACCATATTGCAAGAGTGAAGATTCAACACACACAATTTGAAATCAGTTTATTAGAATATATAACTCATTAACAGCTGGATGCATACACTGCAGCATTATCCACTCGGGCAGGTGGTGAGAGGGAGGTGGAATTTACATATCTTTAACAGTACCTGAATGCATTTCATTTCAGAGGTCATTCTCCCAAATCAAGTTCAAAATGTTAATAACAAGGTGTGCATTTATAATTAATAAAATCTTAGAGCCAGTGCTATAGTTCAAGTGCATTTTCCTCTTATGTAATTAAGAAGTTAAGTGTATTTGGCAGTTGTCACTCAGAGAGCTCTGAAGGTCTCACTTGTCAAACCTGGGGATAGAAATCTCATTAAACCAGGTATTTTTTTTCAGTTAAGGTTTGTTTGCAAAGTACATGAGTGGATAGTGGGCAGCCAGAATGCCCAGCTCTGTCAGTCCATAAAGCCAAGCACATTAAAGCAAATGCCAACACTCAAAGGCTTGGAATAAACAGCCTGATGGTCACCTTGTGAGAATCACAGAATATTTAAGGTTGGAGAAGGCCTCAAAGATCACCAAGTCCAACCATCAACCAGCACCACCACTGTGTTCACCACTACATCATGTCCTCAAGTGACACATCCAAATGTTTGTAAAGATTTCAGGAAAGGTGATTCCCCCACTTCCCTGGGCAGCCTATTCCAATGCTGGACAGCTCCTCCTGTGAAGAAATTTTCCCTAATATCCATTCTAAACCTCCCCTGGTGCAACTTGAGGCCATTTCATCACTTAATTATCCTGTCACTTGTTACCTGAGAGAAGAGACTGACACCCACCTCACTACAACCCCTTTTCAGGGAGTTGTATCCCTTTTCTTTGGGATAATACAAAGTGATTACAGAAAATCAGTGAATGCAGTCCAGTTGTGCCTGGCCAGGGAGCACTGCCCCCAACACCAGCTGCTCTGTGGTCACAGAACATCAGCTGAGACACTGGGAATCCTCCTGCTGCCTCCAGCCCTGGCCCAGATGGTGTTTCAGAGGTGTCAGGATGTGGGAATGTGGTTTTGGGGTGATTGATGGTGGGACTGGATGATCTTCACTCTCTCCTAACCCTGATGATTCTGTGGTTCTGTGGTTAGTGAATGTGACTCCCCATGGGGTATTTGAACTCCACATCACACTGCTCCCCTTTCCTTTTCAAAGGAATTTTCTTTTCCTTCTGGATCACTAGTTCAAATCCAGATAAGGTCAGTTGTCATAGAAATTATTAGCAGTACCAGCAGTTCTGTGTAGTACATGAAATGAGTTGGGAGTTTCGTTCACACAGGATAAGGGTTCCTAAGTGGCACTAATTGGCTGTCTAATTGTCACACACAGGAGAAAGGCAGAGGATTGATTAGGCGTGGAGACTGAATGCCCCTCTGCCAGCCCGGGTTCCTGGAGCTCATTCCATAGGCATGCTGGCAGGGTAATGAGGGGCAGCCTGCTTTGGATTTGCTGCCTGTCAAGGCAGCATCTTTTCCTGCCAGGCCTTTGCAGGGGCACTTGTTTTACTCCACCAAGGTCAAAGATAGCATCTTTTACAAACAGTGCCTTCACTCAAAAATCAGAAGCTTTCAGGATGTACTTGTGAACAGTTAACTGTTTCCTTTCCTTCCTTCTGAGACAAAGTTTTCCTAAAAGATAGGAAATAAAATAGGATGAGTCACACTGGTGTGAGGCAGAACTGCTCCAGCAAAGCAGATGGGGGTTTATGGTGCTCAGAAATCTGTTCATATTTCCTTGTGCTGTCTGGGTGTCTGCTGTGTGATATACAGGCTCCTGGAGGTACTTGTCACAGCATAGGGAAGCTGACACGGTGCACATTTCACTCCTGATAAATGAATCTTCCTATCTAACAGTGAATCCTCTCACCTGCAAAAATACATTTTGACCAATATCTTTTCCCCTGAGCTATGGCACAGGTCACACCATGCAATGCAGTTACTTTTTAACTTGTAGTAGGTTCACTTTCCCTGGCATAGAACTAAATTATTTAAGTTTGACTCACTGAAGTAGTAAATTTAGGAGCTAATTTGCAATGTGAAAGTCAGGATTACACACAGAGGAAAAGGAAGCCAAAATATCTTGTATATGTTAATGTGTAGACCCAGCTGTGGGACTCAGTAAGTTTACTAAGGCTTAAACCTCAATTAGTGAGGTTAGACCACAATTGCTTTAAACCTTATTGTGCTCACATTTTAATTCCCTTGTTGTATCAGATGAACAGTATTAGTAAGATCTGTGTCTATCCTCTGTGAAGCCTCTATCTTTTCAACCACACAAGCTGATCAGTGCATGCAGCACACCAGAATGCAGTGTTACAGCATTCTATATTTCTGTAAATTATAAGTAATTATTCTCCTTTCCCTCCCTTTGCCCACACCTAGAGCAGAAATAGGACAGAAACCACATTTCTGTGTTCTGCTGTGTGCCTCCTGTCTCTGACACACACATCACTCCTGGTCTGCCTTCTTCCTAAAGTCACAATCTCATGCAAATTAATTGAAAACAAATGCAGGTACCAGCTACGCATCAAAAAGGTCTGATGCACCTGCCATGTCGTTTTCCTCTCTGCCAACCTGTGGAAGACGAGCACGTACGAGATCCTTTAGGTTTTTAACAACCCTATTCTTAGAATATATTTTCCAAGAACCGCAGAGCAATCTCTGCACGGTTTCAGACTGTATATTTTGTGATTAGTGCTTCGTAAGTGATGTTTTGCTTAATGATCTAACATCTGCTCTAGGAGGTTTGTTTTTGTAACTTCCCCACCTCCTGCTGAATGAATGCCAGAAACTTGTCCCTTTCCTCCAAGTCAATCAAAGCACTAATTGCATCATAATCATGGGAAGCAGCGGTGACTGCTCAAGTGCTGAAGACTCAGCAATCAACTCACAACACTGCTCACTGTTCAGAGAGAGAAAGCTTCCCTGTGCCGAGCTGGGAGTTTCCTGCATGCCAGATTCCTTCAGCTGACTCTGACTTTTCTGGGTTGCAGGGAGACGACTGCACCATTCCCTGCATGGCAGGGACCTACGGAACCAACTGCTCGTCGGTCTGTAACTGCAAGAACAATGGCACTTGTTCCCCTGTGGATGGGCTGTGCTACTGCAAAGAAGGTAAACAAAATTCACATTTAACGGGTCTCTGCAATCAATGCCTGTCCTCTGTGAAAGTGGCACAGCTGTGCAGTCAGGAACTTCACTGTTTTCTTGTCCTCCCATGTATCCCAGCTTAACAGGGGCTGGACTGCAAGCCAGGGGCCAGACTTCTCTGCTCTGCTGCAGAAACCTGTCACAGAACTGAGTGTGAGGGCAGAAACACTGCTCATCTCTAGGGGAAATGCAGAACAATCCTCTGGCTGCTGGGTTTTTAGGCCTTGGCTGCTCTTTTCTCCCAGATTCCAAAGCCACTGGGCACAGGAGTGGGGGCAGCTTCCTGCCTGTGTGCCCTGTAGCCCCTAGCACTGGGCTGTGCCTGGCCTTGGTCATCCCCACCAGCCTTGACCTGACTCCTGCCTGCCCATCTCCACCTTGGGCTGGTCTCATTCCTGGTGTCCTGGGCTCCTGGATCTCTGCCCTTGCTGCCATCCTCAGCTGCTCATTATCCTGTCCCTGGCATGGTGACACCCCGGCCTTGTGCCAGTGTCCTCTGTCTCCTGAGCTAGCACAGGGTTCAGGATGTGGCTCTCATTTATTTGGGGAAATAAGAAGTCTTGCCTGCTCCAAGGTGACTGACATATTTTCTTCCCACATGTGTCCATAATTCCCTCCTGGACGCAGTGGTGAGCACATCCCATGGATCCAGTAACCACCTGAGAATTCCTTCACTTCATGGAACAATGGCTCTTCTGTTCCCTCAAAATCCCAACATGAGCTACACCTGTACCACATACATAAGCCCTAAAACAGAAGTGAGGCAAATAACATAAAATCTGGCATTTCAAACATGAATTAATGGATCACTGAAGAACCCCATTTAATGAGGGTGTATAAACCATGAGTTACTGCTCAACTCCATGACACAGAGCTGCAGTGTAATGAAAGTCATTGTGCTCCTGGTAGTTAAGATTTGAGCCTTAATGGCTAGAAATTATGGCATTGGTCTTTTTTTAGGTGTAGTAGCTGCTTTAGATTAAATAGCACTCTCAAAAAAAAGAAAAAAAAGAGGTAAGAAACAGGCAGCATCACATGAAAAGTTCTTGCAGTCCTGTAGGTCAGAAGGTCTCCAGGCTGACAGACAAGGACTGCCCAGCAGATCCCAGAAAGGCATCACACACCTAAATCTGGTTACAGCCAAGGCTGTGACACCTCCATCTGTGGGTAGAGATGTTGGGAGATGGAGCTGCAAAGTCACAATGAAAGGGTCAGTCTTTGACCCCAAGTTAGTGTTCATCTACACCAAGAAACTGCTCCTAGAAACAAAGAGCTGCAGCTTGCCAGCTGCCTGTCTTGATGTTTTCATGAAAACATCCCAGATGCTGTTTCTCTCCCGTTTCCTTAGGGTGGCAAGGAGTGGATTGCTCTATTCCCTGTTCAAGTGGAAGCTGGGGTCTGAACTGTAACCAGACGTGTTCCTGCAGCAATGGAGCATCCTGCAGGCCAGCTGATGGCTTCTGCCTCTGCTCCCCAGGATGGCAGGGGGAGTTCTGTGACCAGCCTTGTCCTGTGAGTGCAGATAACAATTTGGGGTGGTCTTCCACCACCTTAAATCACAGTCCCCATAGCTCTGCTGAACAGAGAGCAGGGGAGGATCTCAATTTGTCTGTGATGTCTGAGGAAATCAAGTGTAAATAACAGATTGGGGTTCTAGCAGTCAACTGGATGTATTATACTTTGCATTGTATTTTATCAGAGCTATTGCTGTGTTATCTGCAGTTTCTTGAATGTCATTTTTTAAAGTGATTCCTCATTTGGTTCTGTATAGAAACATTAGGCACTGAGTTTCTGTCTTCTCTGTATGTTAATTTAAAAAATGCAACTCAGCATTAAGAGGGACATGATAGATGATTTTGCACATTTCAGAACAAAAAGCTGATCAGTGAGAGGCTTTTTTATTTCTGTTCTTGAAGGATGGAACATATGGCCTTAATTGCAGTGAGCGTTGTGACTGCAACCACGCGGATGGGTGTGACCCTGTCACCGGCTACTGCTGCTGCCTGGCAGGCTGGACAGGTAAAACCAGCAATTCCTGTGGAAAACCTGGGTCATTTTGGGGTTTGGGGGGTTTGTTTTGCTTTGCTGTTGCATCAGTTATAGCCCTGGACTTGTGACTGCAAATTTCTAAATAATAGATTGAGACAAGATCAGCTGAACTTGCCCATATTTAAATCACTCGTGATGGTGACAATAATTGGCATTCATTCAATTTGTATTCAGATGAGTTGAAGATGGCTCCAAACCTGCAGCCAGATGTTAGCCTTCTGTAAAAGCATCCTCAGGAGGGATGCAGATCATCCATAATCCTGCAGAGTTTTTCTCCTTGAACTGCCCTTTCCAAAGGGGTGCAGTTGTGGGATGGTGAATCCCAGGACCATCAGACCTGGGATGCAGACAGGGCATTTCTGATGAGTCATTACAGCTGCTCCAACATACAAAACTCTGAATTTCCCCATTTTCCAATGGTTCTTGTCACAGGGTAGCTGCAGAGAGCAGATTAATGCTGGTTTGACAGAGCTGTTGTGATTACACAGCAACAGAGAGGAATATTCAGTGAAGTTGGAGAGTCCAGGCTGGAGTTCTCAGCACAATTAGACCTGCACTTGACTCCACACTGATGCTCCCTTTCCAGCTTTTGACAGCAGTAGGGGGCAAGTTATTGACCCAACCATTTCACACTTTGCTGCCTAAAATCCTGGTTAATCTCTCTCTGCTCTCTGTTGAGGCCCTGGGTGGAAATAAAGTTATGTTCCATATACTGCAGAACCACTGACAGTCAAAATGCATTTATATTAACAGCAAGTCATTTGGAAAATTTAATTGTTTTTCAAACAAGTATATATTGGAAGGATGCATGGAGCAAGGCAGGCTGATCAGACAGCCAGCATTTAGGATAGTGTCACCTTTCCCATTGATTTATGCCTTAAACCAACACAAGCCTTATGTTTCTGATGGACAGGACATCCCACAGCAGCCCAGCTCCCAGGAGCATGAAGCAAAAGCAATGAAATTATGCCTAAAACATACAATGGAAATTATCTTTAAAGAATTGACTAAAAGTAAAAATACTGTTTTGCATGTTGTATAAAACAAAGCTACTTCTAAGATACTGGGCATGTAACCCTGAAAAGGACATTTCCCCCCCAAGAAAATCCATTTTATAAGCTCACTTGCATCCCCTCCTTCATTCTCTTGCCTTCCTCACTGGCTGGGCAGCATTTATCTTCCTCTGAACCTCCTTGCCATCAATGTATCCATCTATCAGGCTTTAAAACTCTACTGTTCATTATTGATGATCAGCAGAGAAACAGCTGGCAGATTTTCCTGTAGTCACTGTGAGCTTCTTCAAGGGAAAAAATGCCTTTTAAAATTAGAGTAATTTGAAGAGAGATTCTTATATATACCTACTCTAAAAGTTTATTACACATCTTCTGGATGTAGCGTTCCAGAGGAAACTGCAGGGACTGACCTTTGCAGGCACTGCAGACTGAAGGTGTGGCTTTTCCTCAAAGGCATTTGCAGCAAATACTTTGTGCTTACTCCCATGCACATCTGTAAATGGACATCAAATGCAGATACTAATTAATTAAAGGTAAGAATAATTTCTGATGTCCTTCTTTTAATTTCCATATTGAGCAAGGTAAGTGTATCTTAACTTGGAGGGGGTTTGCTGCAGCCTAAACACTTTATCCGTCAGTGTATCCACTCTGCAGTTTTGGAATTCTCTTCAGGATCACATTTGAGGGAGGAAAATATTATATCCATATTTGAGACCAGGTTGGAGTTGAAATGGTGACAGGGCTCTGTAAGGTGGAAATGTTTATGATAGACAGAACCAACACATGTTTTGTCAATTCTGTTCCAATGTTTTTTCCACCTGGCTTGGCACCAGACACAAGGATAAATTCTGCTCCTACCAGTTTGAAAGTATGTCATTTAAGAAACTCTTCAGCTAGATAATTATATTTTCATATTAAGGAGTATGGCATCAGTGAAAGATTAATCTTATCTGCAGTTGTTGTGAACTGGGCCGTGATGTGTATTGCGGTGCATTTTATTAATATGAGGTGATAAATAATTCAGGCTGAAATTTTTGCTTTCTGATTTTGGTACTAATTAGGCATGGCCTGAAAAATATCAGAAAAGTTCAGGATCATGGAACTTCTGAGGGTTCTCCTGCCCACTCACACCAAACAGAGAATTCACGTGGCTTTCTGATCCTAATAGCCACAAAACTTCATCTGAAACAGCATATTCTGTATGTTCATCCCAGACGTGGGACTCCCTCTTGATGTCTGTGTTTTATGTAAAGATCAAGGGGAAGATTGAACCCATTTTCTTTAAAGTGGTTTCAAGTTGTTACTGATATAAACCTTCAGGGACTGATAGATGGTAAGAGCATGGAGGAGGACTGGCAAAAGAAGGAAAAGTCATGTCCAGAGTAGCATACAATGTAAAGTAATAGCACTCTACCATCCTTTTATTATGTCCTGACTGCCACCCAAGACTATTATTCAGGACAATGACCTTCTGTGGATACCAGCTGGGGGAAGGTAATTTTCGGAGCTGAGTGTCCCTGGCAGATGGGAAGATGATGAAGAGATCCCCACATCTCAAGCAGGAGATCACAAAGCTGTGCAAACCAGCTGGGTGCATAAATAAGCACAGAGGCAGCAAGCTGCTCGAGCCATGCTCATCCCCTCCCTGTCAGCTCCGTGGGGAATTGCAGCCAGAGGCTGGATCAGCTCTGGGCATGCTTGTACCTGGTGTCACTGCTGCCAGTCACCAGCCAAGTGGCACCTGGTGCCACCCATGGCTTTGGAGATAGCTCAGCAAGAACAGAAGCCCAAAACTACATTGGCAAATGCTCTCATGTGGTAAAAACAAAGTGAAACTTGTTGAAATATTGGGCAAAATCAGATCTGTGACCTGCTGGTGCCATGCAGAGCTGAATTTCCCTCCACAAGAGGGAAATGTGGGATGCAGTGACACTGAGGGCTCAGCCTGCACTGGATGGAGTCTCCAGGCTGGAACATGTAACTTCATATATACAAATAGTACCCTGGAAATCCAAACAAGAGGTGCTCATATCTACTGCTGGGTTAAAAAGGAAAAGTCTTGCTCTCACAGGACTGACTCTTGATTGCTCAGGCTGTTTTTTAAGGATTAATAAGGTTCTCTTTCTCCACTTTGCTGTGCATTTTAGGTACAGACACTTCTGTGCTTGCAGCTCTCTGTGTCCACAGGTCCTTAGGGCTCCCCACACACCAGACCTTTGTGGAAGAGGTCTTATTTTATGTGCACTCAGGTAGAAATGAAAATGCTCAGTGCTAATTACATTTGGTTAATTAGGGATCCTGCACCCACTGAATCCACAGAGGGAATGGAACACAGAAATGCTGCATGGCAGAGCAGCTCCTGGAAATCCTTCATAAACAAGCAGGTCCTGGAGAAGCAGGATGAGTCTCATCTGTGCCAGGTGCAACCTCCTCTCTTGGATGCTCAAGTGAAAAGGTTAAAAAGTTTCAGTTAGGCTCCTCTTAATTACTATAACCTGAAGTGGACAGGAAAGGACCAGCTGCCTCCAGGATGAGTCTCATCTGTCCAAGGTGCTATCTCCTGTCCTGCATGCTCAAGTGACAAGGTTATAAATTTCAGTTAGGCTCCTCTTAATTACTATAACCTGAAGTGGACAGGAAAGGACCAGCTGCCTGGTGGCCTTGCTGGGTGACAGTGCTGCTGTGCAATTGTAATGCTGAGGCTCTGCAGATGACAGCTCCAGCCAAGCCCTGTGGGATGCAGGGTGAACTTCAACCCCCTCAGCTTGGTGCCACCTCAGGCAGCTGCTGGCAGCAGGTTTTGTACCAGAAATGGCTTCCTCACAGATTCCAGCTGCTTGAAACTGTGTAGCCTGTAGCTCCTTCCCTCAGTAATCCCTCAAAAATTAAATTAGAGCTGCTGGCCTGTCCTCTGATTTCTGGAGGTGCTTGATCAGAGCCAGGTGAGGCTCCCTGGGAAGACAGACCCAGGTGTTGCCCATCCTGCCCCCAAGCCCCGAGTCCATCCATTTTCCCACTCCCAGACTGACCCCAGAGGCAGAGGCACAGGCCTGGCTGCTCCTCATGCTGAGATCTGCTCCTCCCCAGGATGAGCCAATTGCTCCAGGTTAATTGTGGCAGTGTGTGTTTTGTTACCCTTTCAGCTCTTACACTGGGTTTAAATGGGAAGTGATCTGCAGGGGGATCTTTTCCACTCCTCTAAATGCTAAGGTCAGTTAAAATCCTGTTTATCTGAATTCCTTTAATCTGAAATGCTGTCTTATCTGCATCGTGTTCTGCCTTTTTTCCTGTGTGGTGCTCTGGTTTTGCAGAGCTGCTGTGGTGATGGTATCTCAGCTCCCCACTGAGCTGGGGTACCCAGAGGCTTCTCTCAGTACCCGAAGCCAAAGTTTATTCACTATATTTTAACATCCCAGAGATGTGTGGGGAAAATTTCCCTGGTGCTGTAGATATGAGATGGAAGACATAAAAGTGTGCATCCCATAGTTAATCATAAAAGAAGCCCATATAGATTTTCCTTAATTAATCAGGATGGCAAACACAGGTATGCAAATGATGCATGCTGCTGAGGAACAAACATCTTATTACCTTGGTGCTTTACACCTTCAGGCTTCATTCCTGGCTCATAAGAGCAGCCTCTCTCTTTGCTGTTACAGAGAAAATCAAAATACAGTTTTCACTGTCCTTTACAGCCTCAATAACTTTCCCACGTTGCCAGAACGCAGCCCCTGCTGCTCTCTGCTCGTGTCCAGCTCCAGCACCGTGCCTGTGGCAGTCTGGAGCTGCAGGATTTCCACCTGTGGGGTGGGAGGGAGGGATGGGTCAGGAGGTGCTGCTGGGCACAACCAGGGCAGCTCCAAGGGACCAGGCTGCAGGGCTGGGAACATTTGCAGGCTGGCAGTGACATCTGCACTGTCACTCAAACACAGAAACATGTTTCGTGCCTCCTGTGGACAC